AAAAAGATAACAAAGGGGAGAACTTGACATATGGGGAGAAATATGAAAGTAAGGGGATCAATTAAAATTTGATCACACAAGTAGGGAGAGCAAGTTCATAAACTTGATTGATGCATTTGAATGTGCATTTCATATATTTGCTTACATGGTACAAGTTTTTAAATTAAAATTCCATACTTGTGTGGTGTATACTAGTTATAGGATTGAATGATGAAATAAAGAACTAGCATGCATAGGATAGTTAGATATGCCTTGGTTTTGTGTTTCAAGTGGTACTAGAACCTTACATATAATGTGATCTCATGAGGTATCTAGTGTTTGTGTTTTGTAAGTAATTCCAAGCGGCATCTAACTAGCAATGGTGCTAAGGATGGTATATTTGGTGCACTCCGATTGGTATCACGCTTCAAAGGTCCATCTCTTATACCTTAGCATCATTTGGTAGACATTGCCCTCCCACATTTTCAATCTATGCATATGTGCAAGTTTCAATCCAAACTCTTAGCACATATGTAGGGGCTAATGCTACCAATTGGAGTTCATGAAACTTATCCATATTCTTTTACACATGGTAAATATGCTTGGGAAAGCAACATGGATTCAATTGAATTTCAATTCATATCTTTGTGAAAGGGTTGTTATCAATTACTAAAAAGGGGAGATTGAAGGTTCTAGTTTGGTTTTGGTGAATTGATGAAACCCTATGTGCTAACCTATTTGCTCTAGTAATCATGAGGTAGGTAGCATTATTCCAAGTGGTGGAGCAAATAAAGATCATGTTGATGGTGGTGATGGCCATGGTGATCAAGTACTCGGCTTGGAAAAGAAGAAAGAGAAAAACAAAATGGGCTCAAGGCAAAGGTGATATCCATAAGGCTATTTTATTTTGGTGATCAAGACACCTAGTGGGTGTGATCACATTTAGGATAGATAGCCATACTATTAAAAGGGGTGAAACTCATCGTGAAATGCGGTTATCAAAGTGCCACTAGATGTTCTAACTCATTGCATATGCATTTAGACATAGTGGAGAGCTAACACCCTTAAAAATGTTTGTGAAAACATGCTAACACACGTGCACTAGGTGATACACTTGGTGGTTGGCACATTTCTTCAAGGGTGGTGAAGTTTGGAGTTGAGGTGTCACTGTTTTCAGTGACCGGACATAGCTTTTGAAGTGACCGGGCTCGGTGGTTGAGCGTCCGGTCAATTTTAGAGAAGGTGGCGCGCTCAGGCTCTGTTTGGTCCATGACCGGACTCTGCACAGTGAATGTGATCGGACGCACAGGGCCTGCATCCGGTCACAGGTGACTTATGCTGACGTGGGGTTGGCAGTTGAGGCAGTGAGGACCTGACTTGGTCGTGCATCCAGTCATGCGCGATCAGATGCCTCAGGTCATGAAAAATCATCTCTAGATGCTTACTGGAAATGACCTGACATCGGGAAGTCACGGGGAGTGGCATGTCTGGTCTTGGCTTGGCCTTAGCCCATGAGCATGGACTATCGCGATTGGCACGTCAGGTCCTCGAAACGGCGCATCCGGTCATTACTTAACCGCGCAAGGAAGGCTGACTAGCCGTTGGTGATCAGCGGCTGAGGTTGAATGCAGGGGGACACATGGTGAAAATCCAAGGACCGGACGCTGGGTTCCTACGTTCGGTCAACCCCACCGGTGCGTCCGGTCGCCCTGAATTCTGTGCTGACAGGGAGCCAACGGCTCTATTTCGAGGGGACACCTATATAAGGTGTTTGGCTGGCTCTAGCTCACTCTCTTGACCATTTATATTGACATAGCAACCTTATGAGCTTAGCCAAAGCCCTCCCACTCATCTCCAACATTGATTCATCATCTTTGTGAGATTGGGAGTGAATCCAAGGGCATTGCTTGAGTGATTGCATCTAGAGACACTTGGTGATTGTGTTTCACTATGAGATTCACTTGTTTCTCTTGTTGATTGCCGCTACCTAGATGGTTTGGTGCAACAAGAATTATCGAGCAGAGGAAGGTGATTGTCTCCGTCTCTAATCATGGTGATTGTGAGGGGTTCTTGACCTTTCCCCGGTGGAGAGCCAGAAGGTACTCTAGTGGATTACTCGTGGCTTGTGTGATCCTCATCTTGTGTTGGTTGTGCGGCATCCAATTGCGGGTTAGGCATGTGATGCCTATTAGCGCGTGAACCTCCAAGTGAGTGAATCGCCACAACGGAGACTAGCTTACCGACAAACAAATGAACCTTGGTGAAAAATCTTGTGTCATCATTGTCTCTGAGGATTTCAGGATTTCATTGTGATTGATTGATTGTCTCTTGCGATGGCGATATAACTCCACTACCTTGCTCTTGTACTTACTTTTCTAGTGTAGCTAAGCTCTTTAGTATAATTAGTTTTGAGAGCTAGCTTGTGTCGGATCTAGTGGCTAGTGGGGCTCTTTAGTTAGTCTTTGAAAACTCACTAGCTTAGTGGTAGTGACATAGCCCTTTGTGTGCTTAGAGACTATAGTAACTAGAATTATGGTAGGTGGCTTGCATTTTTAGTAGGTTAGCGCAAGTATTGCTTCGCCTCATATTTGTCTAACCACATTGCTTAGTGTTGTTGTAGAAATTTTTATAGGCTATTCACCTCCCCTCTAGCCATTAGGACATTTCACAAGGGCACCCATGAGCGTAGGCGGTGCTGGTGGGGCTCGCCGCCGGCTCTGACTCCCACAGCCCGAATCGACCGGCCCGACCATCCTCTCCCCTATGTTGCATATGTATGTTTTAAGTGTTTCAAGGGTTTCATATGTATGTTGCAATTGTTTTATCCTGATGTTGCAAAAGTAGATCGAGAGTGTTGCATATGTTGCAAGTGTTTCAGAGGCATGTTGCAAGCGTTTGTTTAAAATGTTTCATCTGTTTCTAGACTTATGTTGCAATCGTTTTTGATCTGCAACAGTATGTTCCAAATAGTTTTTATTGTTTCAGTCTTATATTACAGCAAGTGGTTTCATGTTGCAAGTTGCAAGTGTTTTATTTTAGATGTTTCATGTGCTTCACACACGTATTGCAAGAGCATGATCTAAATGTTTCATCTATTTTTAGTCTTATGATGTATTCATGTTATAGGTGTTTTATGTTGTTCGGCCGTCCTCACCAGCTCATCTCGGCTCCCGTGTGTCGCTCACGCGGAGAGTTGGAGAGAGAGGAGGGGTCAGGGGAAGGATCGGTGGGCACAGAGACAGGGGCAAAGCGCACTCGTGGGCGAGGCAAAGGCGGACGGGGGCGGAGTGAAGGCGAATGGGGGTAGGGTGAAGGCGAACGGGGCCGGCTGCGTGGGCGTTCTGACGCGCGCGTTCGTCTGAACGTCTGCGTGCTAGCCACGCCCCTCATAAAAACTATGAAACAGTTTCATAATTTTTTAAGCTAAAGTAAATTTTCTTAAACCAAATCAGATTTTAGGATATTTATTAATTGTGTAATTTTGTTGGAAAATATATTTATCCCCTAAACTATCTATAAGTCCAATTACCTAAACTATTTCAAATCAAATAAGTCCAATTAACATCTTTGGTGGCGGACATGGTGTGATGTGTGACAAAACCACTCAAGATATAAATCTATATCTATATCTGTACCTAATACTAAAGAGGCAAAATTTCTAGCCTTTTTTTTTTGTCCAGCCTTGCCCTCACCGGGTCGGTCTCGAGTACGGGCTCGGTCTCACGGTGCAAACTGACACTAGGAGTGGGAAAGAGAACAGAAAGAAATATAGGGTTCTAGATGTAAATATGCTAGAGAGAAAGAAAAGGTGGAAGGACCTTAATAGTTTTTAAAATAGATCGGGTTACTGATGCAAAATGTTCAAATCCAAGTGGGCCTCTCCTGGTCGACTTCTTTTTTGGCCTGGGCCAAATCCTTGCAGTTGGGCTGGCTTTGTTGTGGGCTGGACCAAGCCCATGCAAGCCTTTTCTCTTCTTTCATTTTCACTTTTTCTATAAAAACAGAGATTTTGTAAAATCCAACAAAAATCATAGAAAAATGAAAAATGTCAAACCAATTTTGTTAGTTTCATAAAAATGTGACATATCCATAGATGTTATGAATTTTATCGGGTTATACTTTATCTATAGGTGTGTTAAATCATCCTTGTGTAAATCATCCTTGCAATGTTGCATGTATATAGGTTCGACGATGACCGTGAACGTGCCAAAGGCAGACCCGGAATACATGGAGGATCTCCTCGTCGTCGGTGTTCTCAAAGCCTTTACTAACTTTCCGTTGTCCGGTCCTACCCAAGACAAGCGCCGGTGCATAATCCATACTTTTCGAAAAATCAAGAGAGATCTCCCGTCATAATTTTTGGCAGACAAACCAATCCTAGCACATGACAAAAAAGTTATGGAGGTTGATATGATGCGTCAAAAAAGCAACAAAGGTCGATATTGAGTCATAGAAACATATGGGTAGTATGAAAAAGCTACATAGTTATGATATATTTATATCTAAATAATTATGCGCTTGGCAACAGAAGGAAAATATACCAAGATATATTTTAATTCGATACAATTTTAATTGGACATTGTTATTTATTGTCACCATTAACTTATATTATGGATGTGACGGTCATCATAAAATTAATTATAAAAACATAAAACATAAGTAGATATGTACCATTTATATTATCATTTTGTATAAATATTTAGTATTTTCTTTTTCCGTTACGACGCACGGGCATATTTGTTAGTAAAAATAAAGTTACCAAAAATGCAAATTTATACTATACCCAAAGTAGTAGGAAACACAAGTGTAAAGTCCCCTCGTGGGCTTGGGCCTTTGCGTGCAGGCGCATTCCACCGCCAGACGTGGCAGAACGGAGGCATCCACGTAACGCTCCTCTACGCCACGGGTGGCGCCTCCGTTCCAAGGCCCACAGACCGAGCGGCCGCCGCCGCCCTCCCTTTCGTCTCTGACTTTTTCTCCAAGCTCATCTCCCCTCCCTCGATCTCGGGAGCGACCGAAGCATGTCCTGGCGGTGGGCTCTCGCGCGCCGCGTCGCCGCGCTGGCCGCGACCGGCGGCGGCGGCGGTGCCCAGGCGCAGAGGCTCCTGCCCACCTCGTCGGCCGCCGCTGGCACTGGCCTCCTGGGGCGGCACCACATGCCCCTCGCCTCCCAGATTAGGAGCAAGGTCCACTCCCCCGTTCCCCTCTGCTGCCGGTGCTGCTGGAGATGGGTGGCTGGCAGCTCGGCCGCCAGCCACCGCCCGCGATGTGTTTGCGTTTATGCCGCGCCCCGGTAGAAACCGTGCCGGGTCGCGCTCCTAGTCTGGAGACTGCTAGTGATCGCATTCGCGCGAGTTTGCCCTGTTTAATACGCTGCCTAGTCCCGTTAATCACAAGGAATAGCAACCGGTCCTTCATATGTAGCCATATTGTTCGTGGTATGGGAAAAGTCTGGCTTTTCCGTTGTGCTGATACAGGCTCTGTACGTTTTGTATCGTTTAGTAGGTGGTTGGTTGCAGAGGAGCTGCTCTCGTGAGCTCCAGATGGTTGCATGATGCCCAATACCAGGTTCGCCAGGACGGGGCTTCCAGGGCTCAGGTAGTTGAGGCCTTATCTCTGTAATCATTCGTTTTCTGCTGCTCATTAAGCGTGAAATGATCACTTCGTGCCTTTTTCTTTCTTTCGATAAAAGAGTTAGGGTAGGGCATAATTTGACAAATAAAATATGAAATGATGGTCGACTTGTATAAATGCACAACGTAAGTCATTGAGTGTCACATTGTTCAGTTGACTGCGGTTGGGTGTCACATTGTTCAGTTGACTGCGGCTTGTTACTATTACATCTCTTGTTTGTAGCACTGTGGGTATCCTTTTACTAATGCACTGTCACTCGATGGCTCCTCATCTTAAGCCTATCTTGGATACTACCTCCGCACATTAGTTATTATCATATGAACAGGCTTCTATAAAGATTATCATAAACCCAATATGCTTCCTTTTCAAAGAAATGTTGTTCCTCCATCTCCATATCAACAAAAAAGATAAAATTTCTGTCATCAGTTATTAATTCATCAAAAACTTGTAATGCAGTCAGGTACTAGGATGCTGTTCCTGGTTTGACTAAGCTAATACGACAAACAACATATTATGCTCTGTAGATCATCTGAAACTTCAGGACAACTTGATTTCCTTTTCATCATGTAAACTGTTTATTTGAAGTGGCCAGGGACCCGGTCTCTTGCATTTTCAAGTAGTTGGAAATTTACCATCATGTTGTATGGACTTGAAAGAAAGTTTCATTCATATCTCAACAATAAGGCTTTTATGTTGTTTTGAGACGATTCGAAGATTATCTTATCTTAACCTTTTCTGAATTTATCCTCAGCTTTTTATTTTGTTTGAAATGTGAAAGCTAATGAAGGACAATATAATGTATTTGTTATTTTCTTGACTGTAATATAGTCTGAAGAGTCTAATTTTCTTGTGTTCTCAGGAACAGCAAGATCCATTTGAATTAGTCGCCGATGAGCTATCACTTCTTGCAAATAGGTTACGATCCATGGTGGCTGCTGAGGTCAGTAAGCAGTTGATTCTGTTTACCAAAACCCATCTAGTCATCTGTGTAGTACTCCTGTGGACTACTGGTAGCAAAGATCATTTGATTTTTTCAATGTCGCAAAGATCATTTGATGCTTCGTTGATCTAGTGATGGCCTAAATTGCTTCAAAGTTGCATTTGCAGGTCCCCAAACTGGCATCAGCAGCCGAGTACTTCTTCAAGGTGGGAGCAGAGGGAAAAAGATTCCGGCCTACGGTAACTCCTCAATTTCTGGATCATTTGTTTGAACAAATGACTACATTATCATTTTATTCTTGGTTGTTGCCTACTCTCTTCTTGATCTTTCGTGTCTCTAATGCTCTAATTTGTCTTTGCAGGTTTTGTTGCTCATGGCATCAGCTCTGAAATTCCCATTGTCAGAATCAACAGAAGGCGGAGTTCTCAGTATATTGGCAGATAAACTCCGCACACGGCAGCAGAACATTGCAGAGATAACTGAAATGATTCATGTTAGTATTGCGGCAGTCCTTCAGAGCCACATATTGCTATTCTGTTCTTTTCCTCAATCTATTATCTTCTGTAGGTCGCAAGCCTTCTGCATGATGATGTTCTTGATGATGCTGATACTAGGCGTGGCGTCAGTTCATTGAATCTCATCATGGGGAACAAGGTATTCACACAAGCAGTATACTAAGCGTATCGCTCGCATGCATTGAGACTAGTTACTTGGATAGTTTGAAGCCCCAAACTATGAAAAGTTTTAGCTTCCAGTGAACTGGTATGCATTGGTGCTATAGTAGGCAAATAAACGCTTCTTCATTTGATCCCAGGTTAATATGAAGTTAGGATATTTGGAAATCAAAATCTTTTTGTAAGCATTAAATTAGCTGGCGCTCTCATCTTAAAGTTACAGAAGCACCATTTTGTGTTAAGGGACAGCAGTGTTAAGATATTTGTTCTCAAAACTGCTTTCTTTGTGGTTTCCTGTTTCTAAACTGGAGAGTTTTGTACAATTGAGATTGTCTGACATCAGTATTCATCGAATATTCTGTCTGCAGCTTTCTGTGCTGGCTGGTGACTTCCTCCTGTCTAGAGCATGTGTGGCACTTGCAGCACTTGGGAACACAGAGGTAAATTGATGTGCCTTATTCATTTGTTTTTAGCAATCTTCAAGAACAGGCAATATGCTTAGTTTATTTGATCTTCTGAAGGGAATTACAGTTGTTATATGCTGTATCAGTTGCTTCTGTGGATGCCATTTGACTCAATTCATATGTCTGGATCTCATTCATGCACTTGTTCTGATCTTAAATTCTATTTCCTTGGTATTCTTCAGTAGCATAACCGTGCTTATCTTGTTCTGTAATTCTAGATCTATCCTTACCCATGTGCTCTTTTCTTGCAAGTTGTCTATAGCACCACCAACTGGTTACTACCTTGTTTGTGCAGGTGGTTTCTCTAATGGCAACTGCTGTAGAACATCTAGTTACTGGTGAAACTATGCAGATCTCTACAAGCAGAGAGCAACGACGAAGGTTTACTATGTTCTCTCTATCATGGTTTTAGTTGCTTAGTCAGATCTAAAATTTATACAAAGAGTTGCAGTGTGAAATTCTTGCACATCTTTTTACTTTTGTTTTACTTTCATTGATGTCTTTATTAGCAAGTTCTGATATGGATTCTTCCAAATGCAGCATGGAGTACTACCTGCAAAAGACATACTACAAAACGGCATCATTGATATCAAATAGTTGCAAGGCTGTTGCTATTCTTGCAGGGCACACAGCTGAGGTCTCCATGCTTGCATACGAATATGGTCGAAACCTGGTTTGTAAAACATGTTTCCCATTCCTTTTCTTGAATCCATTTCCTTGCAAGCTAATTCTGTAAACTTGGCTACAGCTTAGCTAACTTGGTACCATGCAGGGTCTAGCCTTCCAGTTAATTGATGATGTTCTTGATTTCACTGGCACCTCTGCATCCCTTGGGAAGGGTTCATTGTCTGATATTCGCCATGTGAGAATCAAGTTTTTTTCTTTTTACTTTGCAGTGACTGAAAGTATAATCATGTCTATCATCTGAAATATGCATTTATCTTTCTTGAAGTCAATATGATGTCATAATAGTTTTGGCAGGTTTCATTAGGAACTTATGGGAGATCTATAAATCTTTTTATGCCTTGTATAAAAAAAATATTCCTTGGTTAATATGCATATATTACGTTCTGTCTAGCACAAACTGTTTTAATGCATGTTTGCTGTCATCTTGGAGATGCCACTCATGATATCTCTCACTCTCACGAGAAACAATTTTTTGGTGACTGGATTTTTGTTGACGTGTCGGCTTCACATATCAGTCAGGTGGAGAAAAGATTATTGTTGTCTAGATAAGTAGAATATGACTAGCTTTGTGGTAAGCCTACTGAAATTAGATGTGAGATATGGTTAGGCTAGAGCTTTTATATCAACACAAAAATCAAAGTTTCTGTTTGATGGCATTATATTTATTATATAATGGCATTCACCATGCAGGGAATCATCACTGCCCCGATGCTATATGCGATAGAGGAATTCCCGCAACTACAAGAAGTTGTTGACCGGGGTTTTGATAATCCTGCAAACATTGAAATTGTGAGTAGTTACTTTAGATTGTGAGCAGGTTTCATTTTTTCATTCTTTATTTACCTATAACTTACAGACACATTAGGGAATAGTTCTCTCAAAAAAATATATAATGCAAATGTTTCTAGTGAAGGACAGTGACTTACACAGTGCAAAAGAACATGTTTAACAAAGAGAAAACTTTATTTATATGGTTTACTTATTAGGCTTGCTGAGGAATTTTGATATCTAGTGGCACAAGGCTACAACTTTTTGGATGGACTTTAATAGTTTGGCTGGATATTGAGGAACAGTGTAGAACATTTACTTAAGCTCTGACAGTTGTTATCTCCAAATTTTATTTGTTCTCATAGCCAGCTAATTGCATGTTGAGCATTTAGTCGCTGGGTTTAGCATCACGTCCTTGCACACTTGAAAGTGCATGTTTTCTGTAAACAGCATTAGAAAAAACAGCAGGACAGGACCATAAACTTAATGGACTACTTTCTTCTTTAAATCGCAGGCCCTTGACTATCTCCGGAAGAGCCGTGGGATTGAAAGGACAAAGGAGCTTGCACGAGAACACGCTGACCGTGCAGTCAAGGCCATAGAATCCCTCCCAGACAGCGACGACGAGGATGTTCTGACCTCAAGGCGTGCTCTTATTGATATCACAGAGAGAGTCATCACAAGGACAAAATAGCAAGGTGTTTGGCGTTCACAAGGTGAATGGAAAGCTGAACCTCGCCTCAAGGCCTAGTGTTCCACTTGGAAAATTTTGTATACTTCGGTTCATTGCATTCTTTTCACAGCCCAAACCCCAAGTTTTGTGTAACATTGCTGAAATTTAGGATTAAGAAATGGCCCTGCATTTCTGGGAGCTCTAGTGGTTTTGGCTGCATGTATGTGGCAACAAAATATATATGTCACGGATTGCAATGATCACCAGATATTGTGTAGCCATATAAGTGTGGGAGCATTGTACCCAATATACGAGAAGAAAGGATTGTTGACTCAAGATAGTACCATATAGTATCTGTTAACCATTCCTCTTCAAATTTGGTGGTTGTTTCTCATGAAATCGTGTCTTCTCTAATCTTGGTTCCGTGGGCTGAATTCTGTACCACATTTTGACATCTTGTCTGCTTATGAGTTTTGATCGATATATAATGTGCAAACTGAAATGTATTCAATCTTCCATAATGAATGAAGCGTTACAAAATGTTGGTCCTGGTCACTAGGTGCCTATATATAATACTACAGTAGAATGTTGCATGATTACGTAGGCACGCCATGAATTGACGGATCATCAACGTTGTTGATCGTTTATCCTGATCGTCCGGTTAACGGGCCTGGCTCCAGAATCTCTCTTTGGCCCATGCAATCGCCTCATCCACCGCGGCGGCGCCGACGCTGTCGATGTCGCCGCCGTCGTCCATCAGCAGCGGCGCCCGCTCCCTCACCTCCATCACCACCTCCTCCAGCCGCCGCGGCGTCCTCGCCAGCGGGTTGGTGAAGAGCGACGACGACGTGGCTGACGGCGGCGAGTAGTAGTACCCGTAGTCGGCGCCGGAGTAGTCGGTGATGGTGGTCTCGGCGGCCGGCGACCGCGCCCCGCGTGCGGCCTGCCGGAAGCTCGGTGCGTTGCTGCTGGTCTCCGGGTTCGACGTGAAGCAACAGAAGCTGCTGCCCCCGCGGTGGTTCCGGTGGTGGCGCGTTGCCGCCGCCGACCCGCCGCCGCCGGCTCTGCTGTGGTTCGACCTGCTGCCGGCGGCCTTGGCGTCGCTGCCGTAGTAGTAGCGAGCTGCCGGGTACGCGGCCGTCGAGCACGTGAAGCTGCTCTGGTACTCCCCTCTCGTCGACGTCGATGACGGCGGCGACGAGTCGTACCGCCGCGAAGGGATCGTCACCGGCCTGCCAAGAACGCCATGATCATCTTAATTAGCGCTTATGATGATGATGATGCCGATGCATATATACATTGCCGGATTAGGCATTTTGTGATTTGTGACGCACGACGCATTTTTCACGTGCTTCGATCGTCAAGCTTTTGGCACGCACGACTGTCAATGAGCTCCTACCTGAGCCTAGATGTGAACGAGGAGAGCGTGGCGTCGGCGCGGCCGCCGCCGGTGGCTACCGGCCGGCAGAAGCCGGCGGAGGGAAACTCGTCGGAGCTGACCGCCGACGATGACTTGGACTTGGACCTCGACCTCGACCTCATGTGACGACGGGCACCGAAGATGTCGTCAAAGAAGCCCTGCTCCGTGGGCACGGCCGCCGCGCGCCCGTCGGCGTAGGGCCGGCGACAGAAGGCTTCGGCGCCGCCGTAGCTCGTGTACTGGTGGCCCGTCGGGGAGTGGTAGTCAACCGCCTCGCCGCCGAAGCTGCGGAGGAGCACGGTGCGAGGCGGTCCGCCGTACACGTCCCGGAAGTAGTCGGGGTCCAGGCTCTGGGGGCCGCCGCCGGCGTGATGGTCCGACGACCGCTGCCGCGGCAGCACCGAGCCCATCGTGCACCTCCACGACTCGTCCATCCTCGATCTCTCTGGCTTATCTGCGAGAGAGCTTTGTGTGTGAGAAATGGAGGTGGTGATCTTTATGCAAAGGCGATCGTTGGAGCTATATAGGCCAACAAGCAGGAAAGCTTGGTGCTTTTGTTTCGTCGGATGCATGTGTATATATACTAGTAGCTCACTCAGCATGTATCACTGTTTGTATGCAGGTACAGAAAACGGTACGAACAAGTACTGTTAGCATCTTTTCAAATTGCACATGTTGATCCATCCCCAACCAATTCCTGCTGTAGGAAGCTGACGAACTGTTTCTGAAACTGGTGTTTTATTTTGCCTCTGGTGAAGTATTTCTTCCCAATAGTGTTTATAGTTTATACCATATACATACATAAACATTGGTAAATGTAGCCAGTCAAACTTTGAAAGCCTGCATGATGAAGTACTCAAATGGCCACAATCATGTGTAACAGCTTGCTAATCCTATCACATGCATGAAGAAGCTGCTGATTCATATATATACCACCATGCATGCATACTGCAGGCTGCTTTAAATTAAGTTGTTACACCATTGTGTGGCTACCAACAGGTAAATAAATTGACAGGTTTTGTTTTATGTTGCTTAGCTGTTGATGTAGTTTGGGATAAGATAGTTAGATGAATAATGATGTGTGCCACAGGTGAGTAGCCAATGGATGATTGATTGGCATTACCTTTTGGAGGGGAGGGAGGCATGTGATATGGGATGATTGTGTTCTGCTACCCTCTTTGTAGACAGAGCATCATGGTGGTTGATCCATGGCCTCATTCTTCCAATCTCCTCACTCTTCATTCTCATGTTTTTAAAAAAAAAAATGTACTACTCCCTGTTCCACTTCACACTACTACTCCTTTTGTTTTTTTATTTTGGTGCTTTTGCACTTAGCACTCAACTATGTTATCACTACTATTAGAATTTAAATGGTGCTATCAAATAATTACCTATCTGAAAGCTTCTCAATCTAGGACCAATCCAGTGTTCATGGAAAAGGCTAACCAGGCAGAGACAGATCAAAGTGGCTAATCACTCTAGCATCTCAGGTAATGAGGCAACCTTTTCCGTTTTGGACGAAATTAACACCAAGCATAGTCTGTCTGCGTCAAGTTTAAACAACACTAGCAACTTGATGCACTACACCTCAGGAGCAGCTCACGATTAGGCTGCAAATCATGTGGAGTGTGCTTAAAGCTGTAGCTTAGGGTACTAAAAGCGATCTACAACTTGTGACTGCAGATGCGCCACTATACATCGTGCATGTTTAACAACTCCAGCAAAATCTTGGCCAGAATCACATGGATGTTTATTTTAATTTACTGCCCTGAGAAGCAATCCCACATCCAAAACCAACTGTGCCTCCCTGTATCTGTATGATCTATGGAGATCGTGCTATATATCTCCATGGATCCACAGCAGCTCAGCATGTACCTAAAAACTATCCGCACATCAGAAAATACGCAATGTAGACATGCAGGTGTGTCAGCTTATTGATAGCGCTGATAGGATCATCTAGGCGTAGATCTAGGGGGGGTAAAAACTTAACTGGACAAAGAACTTGCTGATGTACCTCATCTAGCGCAGTGTCGCAGCCATAGCGCCGCCGCCGAGGTAGCAGCGACGTGGAGGCACGGTCCAGTGGCGGCGGTGAAGGCGGCGGCGAAGGCGATGGCACTTCCCATCGCTCACAGCACCCTCTCGATCGGTCTAGAGTTAGGACGTCGGTGGAGAACAAGGCGGCTGCTACAGTGAACCTCATGCCTTGCGCCCCGGCCCCCACCTTCCTCTTTATAGCGCTGCGCAACGGGGGCCATCAGCTAGGAGAACAGCTGGGCGCCCCCCATCAGGGCACGGATAAGGGCCCAATTGGCCGTTGGGCCAACTGGTGAGAGATCAATATAACATTCTCCCCCTTAATCTCACCTTATGACTTAAACTTAACTTATTTTATCTTTTTCCATTCCATCGCAGATCAGTGCATAGAGCGTGCCTCATCGTCACGGTCAGTTACCATCAGATTAAACAGCTACAATGCACCTCTCTGTTTTGAAATAGATTCTCAACTAGGCCCTTAGTATCCAGAAATCATAGGCTTTCCTGTAAACCTATGTCGACTGTGTGTTCTCTAACGCACTAGGTTGTTAGCATTTAGTAAGCGGATCCACAAGTACTTGCTTGATACTTATATGCTCAATGCTTTCAAAATGATTCTAGATTTTCTCCTTTACAACATATAACTTAATGTCAATGTGTTTGGCAGCACACTTAACTGTTGTCTTAGGAGTTAACTATTTTAAATGGTTATTACTGTTGACTACCATTGTTAAATCCGGATACATATTCCATTAACCACTTTTGCATGTTCCTGAGGCCTCATGACAAGTTATACTATGGTATGCATCATTGATGACAGCACAACTGTTTCATTGAAGCTTTTCCACAATAATACTCCAACTACGAGTGTTAGCAACTACTGTGGATTTCACTACACATCTCGCCAAAACTTAACATTTGTACCCATAACTATTTGAGAGTACTTATTCTTTCTTACTCAGCATGAGGCCTATGATACTTTGCAAAAATTACAAGACATTCTTAATTCCATTCCAGTGATCTATATCTGGACTGGACTTCTGCCAAAATATCCCGGATATGTAAGCTACGTTAAGGTAAGTTCTTACTTGTACATTCATTAAGCTTCCAACAGATGAAACATATGGAACCATGTTCATTTGATCTATCTCATATCGGTTCCTAGAACACCGAAAGTTCTCAAATCTATTACCCTTGACTATAGGAGCAGGCGTAGGTTTACTTGCATGCATACTTTATTTCTTTAAAATCTTTTCTAAGTATGCATTTGCAATAGTCCTTGTCAGTGCATAAAGTGACCAACAAGTAAATATTTATAGTTTTGTCGTACGTTGTGATCAGAGGTGGCCTAGCACTCAATGACACAGGGTTTATACTGGTTCAGACAACGTGCCCTACGTCCAGTTTGAGTCGGTTGGTGACTTTATTCCTGAGCCCAGGTGCTCAAAGTTTGTAGTGGGGTTACAAACGAGAAGGAGAAAGATGGGGGTACAAGAGATCCGGTCAGCTCTAGTCGGAAGGGCCAAGAGCAACAGGAGCTCCGCTATGAGCTAAGTGTTCAAGCGTGCACTTGAGGTCCGAACCTGGCGGTTATGTGGTTGTGAGCTAGTGAACTTGATCGATCTAATGAATCTAGAATCACTTGAATGTTGGGAGAGAGCACATCCCTTTTATAGATGAAGGGGGCGGCCTTACAGGTGAGAGGGAGAGAGTACGTATGCTTCTAAGCCTTGTTGCCCACGCCGGCGGGTATAGGATGATGGTAGGCGCCCACAATACTGTTGAATGTCAGATGCACGTGGGAGGTGGTGTTGTCTTCTTTGGGCATGGCAGACGTCAGCGCCTGCCATACTGTTGATACCTGAGGCATGCAAGGGGTTTTTACCATGTTCATCCGATACGGTAAAAGCCGGCGCCCACAACACTGTCGATGCCCAAGAGGCATGTGGGGGCCTTACTGTATGGGAGTTAATGATGCCCACAATACTATAGAGGAAAATGTCGGCGCCTACAACACTATTTGTGTTAGGGAGGTTGCAGAATACTGTTTCTGCATGTGTACAGAGTACGGTCCCTGGTATCATGGTTTGACTTGTGCGCCCTACCTTGCTTTCTCCGTTCGTTCTCCGGTCCTTTCCGAGCGGGTGTCCCCTATCGGTCGGTCCCAGTCGGTTCAGATCGCGCCAGTCAGAGACGAGTTGTGAGCAGGGTTTTGGCGTATCCCCGATCGGAGACGCGGGTCGAAGTCAGAAGTAGTGCTTTTGGCCAAGCCTTTCGGTCGGAGAGGCTATCCAAAGGCGGGCTTGGGGACCGAAGCGAGTGCTCCAGTCGGAGAGGTGGGCCGGAGTCAAAAAATGGGCGTCGTTCATCCTCGGCCAGACCTTCCGGTCGGTGATTGGATCGCCCTTCTGGCCTGTTGTTCAGAATCATGGGCCGGCCCATGAGTTGTGCATTGTCTGCTTGGGCTGAGCCTTTGTTGGGAAGCCAGTCCGCGAGGGACCCTAGGTTTATGAACCCGAAAGGAGCCCCCGAGCCCTCGGGTGATTCGGGCAGAATCGTCTGGGGGTTTTTTTTGTCTTGACGGTGGGTGCGCGCGAGTGCACCCCCGGGTGTAGCCCCCGAGCCCCTGGGCGATTCGGGCAGAATCATCTGGGGGGTGTTTGTCAGCGGGCGTGTGTGCGTGTTTTTCAGTTGAGATGAAGTTGTCATCCAAGGCGTCGTTGCGTAGCCGAGGCGATTAGTTTTTAGATTTGGGATAGGGAGAGTTAGAGTCATGGATCCTGGCGTCAGTGCAGCCCGCGTAGCCGAGAGGCAGTTAGTTAGTTAGTTTAGGGATCAGGCGAGCCAGGACTCGTGGATCTTGATGGGGCGAGTTCGGGGTCGCAGACCCAAGCTCATTTGGTGTCTTGATCAAAGCGTAGCGGATGGGGGATTTCGTGGTCGAGACCCAGCGTTTAGTGTGTGCGATCAAGCGAGCTTGGATGGGGTGAGTTCGTGGTCATGAACATAGGCGTTAATGTGTGCGATCAAAGCGTATTTGGATGGGGCGAGGTTGGGGTCAGAGACCAAGCGTTTAGTGTCTGCGATCGAAGCGTAGCCGGATGGGGCGAGTTCGGGGTCGTAGACCTAGGCGTTTGGTGTGCAGTCGAAGCGTAGTCGGATGGGGCGAGTTTGGGGTCATAGACCCAGGTTTTTTGAATGTCTTGAGCCCCCGAGCCCCGTTGGGCATTGGTAGGGGTCGGTTTGAGTTGTGTGCGTTACCCCGTCCTCGGATTCTCACAACCGGAGGGGCTGAGTTTTGTCCCTTGTCCCGATCGCTCGGGCTCGAGTGACGCGCTCGATGAGTTCGCTAACGGGTATGATGGAGTGGAATCCGGGTCCGTTGTTCATGACGGGG